GGCCTGGGTAACAAGAGTGAAACTCCGTCTCAAAAAAAAAAAAAAACAACCTCAAACCCGTTGGCTCAAGGGATTCTCCTGCCTCACTCTCTATGCAGCTAGGACTATAGGGCCAGCTAATTTTAAAATCACTTTCTAAAAGGTGGAGTCTTGCTTTGTTGCTCAAGCTGGTTTTGAACTCCTGGTCTCAAGTGATCCTCTTGCCTCAGCCTCCCCATGTGCTGAGATTACAGGTGTGAGCCACCACATCTGAGAAGGGATTCTTTTTTTTTTTTGAGATGGAGTCTCGCTCTACTGCCCAGGCTGGAGTGCAGTGGTTCGATCCCGGCTCACCACAACCTCTGCCTCCTGGGTTCAAGTGATCGATTCTCCTGCCTCAGCCTCCTGAGTAGCTGGGATTACAGGTACAGGCCACCACGCCCAGCTAATTTTTGTATTTTTAGATACCCAACAGGGTTTCCCCATGTTGGTCAGGCTGGTCTCGAACACCTGACCTCATGATCTGCCTGCCTCAGCCTCCCAAAGTGCTGGGATTATAGGTGTGAGCCACCGCACCTGGCAGAAAAAGGATTTGTTTTTTACAGAAAAGTTTCAGAATAAATTGGTGATAGGTACAGAGAATATCTACCAAATAAATATAATGACTAACAACTCCAGGAGGGAAAAATAAATTGTACACAAAATAAAATATAATCTGTGTACACAGTACAAGGCTCTATTGTGAATAATACATATATATTATATACTTTACTATTATCATTATAATATTTTATACACACACACAGAGAGAGAGAGGGGGAGTTTTGCCCGTCACCCAGGCTGGAGTGCAATGGCATAATCTCGGCTCACTGTAACTTCCACCTCCCGGGTTTGAGGGATTCTCCTGCCTCAGCCTCCAGAGTAGCTTGGATTATAGGCGCCTGCCACCATGCCCAGCTAATTTTTCTATTTTTAGTACAGATGGGGTTTCACCAGGTTGGTCAAGCTAGTCTCAAACTCCTGATCTCAAGTGATCCACCCATCTTGGCCTCCCAAAGTGCTGGGATTACAGGTGTGAGCCACTGTGCCCAGCTGGATTTAAGTATATATTTAAATGAGTTTTGGCTACTTGATTTTTTAAACTATGTTCATTTATTACTTTGATTAAAATTAAAAAAATTACAAAAAATTGTGGCACTCAATTGAAATGTCTTTTGGTAATAAAACTAAGGTGATTAAGAAGCCCTCCTAGGATGTCCTGGGGAGTTTCTGCAGGAGCCTCCCTAGCCAGAAGAAGAGACTTATTGGCCGGGCGCGGTGGCTCAAGCCTGTAATCCCAGCACTTTGGGAGGCCGAGGCGGGTGGATCACGAGGTCAAGAGAGGGAGACCATCCTGGCCAACAAGGTGAAACCCCGTCTCTACTAAAAACACAAAAAAAAAAAAAAAAGGTACCCGGGCGCAGTGGCTCGTCTGTAATCCCAGCACTATAGGAGGCTGAGGCAGGTGGATAATGAAGTCAGGGGTTCAAGACCAGCCTGGCCAACATGGTAAAACCCTGTCTCTACTAAAAATACAAAAAATTAGCTTGGCATGGTGACAGGCACCTGTAATTCCAGCTACTCCGGAGGCTCAGGCAGGAGAATCGCTTGAACCCAGGAGGTGAAGGTTGCAGTGAGCCGAGACCATACCATTGCATTCCAGCCTGGGCGACAGAGTGAGACTCTGTCTCAAAAAAAGAAAAAAGGAAGCATTAACTTCCACCTTGCTCCCTCCTGGATCACACATTCTCCCTGATGGTAGAACACATAGAAACAGATACTGATGGTGATGGAAATGGGGTAAATTTTTACATAGAGGCCAAGCGCAGTGGCTCACATCTGTAATCCTAGCACTTTGAGAGGCCAAGGTGGGAGGATCACTTGAAACCAGGAGTTCAAGACCAGCCTGGGCAACATAGTGAGAACCCATCTCCACAAAATAAAAGAAATAACAAAACTAGTCAGGTGTGGTGGTACATACCTGTAGTCCTACCTACTCAGGAGGCTGTAATAGGAGGATCACTTGAGCCCAGGAGTTTGAGGCTGCAGTGAGCTATGATTGCACCACTGCACTCCAGCCTAGGTGACAGAGTGAGACCCCATCTCAAAAAAGGAACAAAACAAAACCTTTCCACAGAGCAGAGAGTTATAAAACTAGATCCTTCAACCTGGTTTGTGCCATAAATATATTTATTCATATACTATTCATACATGTGTATGGAAACATTTATTTGTTCAAACTATACAACTGTGAAAAAATGTTGACACCCTAAAGTTCTATATGGGAAAATAACTCAGCAAACTGTGGTTTACTGACCTAAGAGAGCTCAGAGCAGCACGTCTCACACGACTCTAAGGAACACTGTGTTCCTTGTGGTATTAACAGGTATTGCTAGAAAAACAGGTACTATTGCCAAAAAATTCAGGAAGCACTACTTTCAGATGTGAACTTTCTACTTATCTCCAAACCTCTGGCACTATAATCTAAAATCCGTAAGATATTACAAATTAATTTTGAGAAAATCTACTTTCATAGTATAAAAACCTAACTTATGCTAGTAATACTTACTAGTGATTTCTAGTTAAACATGACAGACTGAACATATCAGTTTACTGCCACCCTCTCCCCAGATCCTGCTTAATCAATAAAAGGATAAGCATAAACAAGAAAAAAAGGGAACTAGAAACAAGATGAACAGCAACAAAATTTTGGAAGCTGGAGAACAAATGAACTAGTGGTTACTGACTGCACAACAAGAAAAAGCTAGACACTTGTAGACCAGACACTTCTCAAGGTGGCAAAAAGGCTGGGCACGGTGGCTCATGTCTGTAATCCCAGCACTTGGGGTCAGAATTTGAGGCAGGAGGATCACTTGAGGTCAGGAGTTCAAGACCAGCCTGGCCAACATGGTAAAACCCCGAATCTACTAAAAATACAAAAATTAGCTAGGTATGGTGGTGAACACTGGTAATCCCAGCTACTTAGGAGGCTGAAGTAGGAGGATCACCTGAATCCAGGATGTAGAGGTTGCAGTGAGCCAAGATGACTCCGTCTCACCAACAAAACAAAACAAAAACAGGAAGATTAACTGAAAATCTGTTTGAGAAGCAGTGAGAGCCCCTTCCTCACTCCCTGCTGCAGGGAGAGTGAGCTCTTCCACCCTAGAAGAAGGTTTCTGCTGTCAAAAGGCTAAACCTCAGAGGTTCTGGCCTCAGTGACACCAAGCACAGCCCGGCAGAGAACCTTTTGGAAAACCAGGTCACTGGTTTCACAGGAAGGTTAACAGCCTATGTCTTCTCCATCCAGCTCTGTAAAGGCTGGCAGCCCGGCTTGTCACGGAAAGAGATGGAGGAGGAAGCAACTGATCAAGAGATAAGATACACTAAGTATGATATTTGGAAGCCCAGCAATAAAATGGCCAGGCAGATCGCCTTACTGTGAAAACCACGCAAGTCTGCAATGTCCATGAGGGTCCATTCAGTGCCCAGAACAACATACTCAGCAAATAATCACTGAGCGTTTACTGTTCCAGGCTCCAAAGATGCAACAGTAAACCAAATAGATAATAAAGCTTACATTCTACTGAGATAAAGACCCACACCAAGTACTTTCAGACTGCTGGGGACAAAGAGAAAATACTAAAAGCTTCAAGAGATAACAAAATAGGATTGGGAATCAGAAGGACATGAGACTTCTCAACAGCAGCACTGCAAGTGGGAAGATAACAGAGCAATGCCTTTGAAATACTCAGTGAAAAGGGCTACCAACCTAGAATCCTATTCCTGGCCAAACTATTATTCTAATGCAATGGCAGAACAGAATGATGCTATTTAGAGCCTCAAACACTTTATTTTCCTTGTACTTTTTCTTTTCTTTTTTTTTTAAAGATGGAGTTTCACCCTGTTGGTCAGGTTGGTCTTGAACTCCCGACCTCAGGTGATCCGCCCGCCTTGGCCTCCAAAGTGCTTGGATTACAGGCGTGAGCCACCACGCCTGGCCCTTT